AGTAAACTTGTTAAAAAATAGAATATTTATAAAATGTGAACCATCCCATTGGTCAAATGCCTAATTCGGTCGGTTAAATATCGTTCTTTCAGCAATCAATTTGTAAAGAGAGTTTGACCAAACATGGGTCGGGTTTTCGGTCCAAACGACCTGGCTTACTCAATCTTTTACTACTAGAATCGTCAAACGAGCCGATATTGTGAGCTCGACTCGGCTGGGCTCATTAAAGCTCAAGTTCAGCTTGTCTCATTGGATAACGAGCCAAACTCGAGCTCAATGAAAGCTCGTTAATTATTGAGTCCGCTCGACTCTACTCGTTATAACTAAAAAATTAAATTTTTACACAGTCTTATATAGTTCGATTGGTTAAAGTTTGAGCTCGACTATTTATAAACGAGTCAAGTTTGTGGTTCATTAATAGTTCGTTTAGTTCACGATTCGAGCTCTATTCAACTCGTTAAAGGCTCGCGCGAGCTGATTTTGTTAAAAATATGTATTGAAAAAGTGGTGTCGGGGGTCAAACCGTACGACCTCTCCTTTCTCTACAAGTGTGAACATACTTAATCTAATTAATTAATTAATGAAAACGTCAACGTTTTAATTGATCAAATACCATGAAATTATTTTATTAACTTTCACCACAACTTTTACCTTTGAAAAAATAAACTTAATTAACATTGTCAGATTAAAATTAAAATTAATTAATTAGGGCGGTAGCTGCTGGGCAATCTTCCTCAGGTGGCTTACAGCAAAGATTAATTACTTGTTCAACTGCTAATAATAATTACCAAGTCTCGTATATTATTATTTTTATTTATTTATTTATTTTTTAATTTTGTTATAAGGTGAAAGTGTGGCCAACAATAAATTTGTTCCTTCGAAGTTCCAAGGAAATTTCATTCTGGACTAGTATAGTTTCATTTTTTATTCAACAAAATATTTATTATAAATAAAAAAAAACAATGTAAATATTATATATATGACGTCACATTATAAATATACAATTTAACTAAAAGAAAAATATTACGAGTCGACCTGTTTAATGATTACAAATACACGAAAATTTAAATAAAGGGTATACTTTTTAATTTTTATATGCCTTTTTAAAGAACTATGGATTCAATTTCATCTATTCAAATATGTTCCCATTTTTTTTCTTCTTTTTCCTTCCTCTTTTTTGGGGGCGTGGGGACTTGACATGATTTTGTACACGTTTTCATATTTTTTTTTTTAATTGATTGATGAAATTAAAAAATACAAACTAATTTTGATTAAATAAATAAGCACCGAATTCCATTTTATTTCTCATTTTGCTTTAATTACACTTGTGAGTTGTCCCACATCGTTTATATAAGGAAAATCACTACAAAATAAATGTTATATTCCAACGGAAAATCCTAAGGTAATATATTCCAATGGAAATTCGCACGGATATTCCAATGGAATAGCTTCCGTTGGAATAGTTCCAACAGAAATTCCAACGGAAATATTCCGTTGGAATGTGTTTTCCATTGGAATTTTAGATGGAATTTGATGATTCCAACGGCTTTGTACCGCAGGAATTTCCGTTGGAATTTTTTTTCCACCCCCGTTGGAAAGTCCACCGTTGGAATCGTCAAAATCCAACGGAAATTCCAATGGAAAACCCATTCCAACGGAATATTTTCGTTGAAATTTCCGTTGGAATTCATTGAAAAATTCCAACGGAAATAATAGTATTGAAATATTCGTTGGAATAATTCTTTTGAAATATATTTCCGTTGGAATTTCATCATTTTCTTGTAGTGAATAGGCTCAGTCTAATGAGTTGGTCCTTCTTCCACCAATTAGTTTTGGGATGGAACTTTGCTTGAGCTTCATATGAGTTTTTTCTATCTTGGTGCGCTTCATCTGCATGGGACCGCACCCTCCCTGTCCCGTTTCTTACAATATGTATAGGATTTATTAACTTAGGGTATGTTTGGTAAGCCAAATAAGCTAGCTTTTAGCTTATTTGGTTAGCTTATAAGCTCCCTGTTTAAAATAAGCCTCGTTTGGTAGGATGAGCTTTTTTAAAAAGCCCGAGCTTATTTCATAAGCTACTTTAGGTAGCTTTTCAAATAAGCTAGTTGAATTTTTTTATTTCAGCTAGCTTATCAGCTAATTTACCAAACACCTTTTATCATATAAGCTAGTTTTTCAGCTATAAGTCATAAGCTCAAAAATTACATATAAGCTATAAGCTAGCTTATCAGCTATCAGCTAACTTATCAGCTAATTTTACCAAACCTAGCCTTAAACAATTTTCAATGATTGCAAAGAAAAAAAAAAGTCTTCAATTATATTTAATATAAATCTTGAGAAGGACAATCCGTACGTACCTTAGGTTAGCATGAATTATTATTGAGAAGGGACATTGTGATAATCATCATCAATGTAGGGCATCTTTATTGGTGTAGAATGTAGAGAGAGAGCAAAAAGGCCAGCTAATATGTTTGGACCAAAAATCTGTTTACAAGGTCGGAAAAATCAAATAATTAGACATTTTGGTTCATATATGTTGAAACTGATTAATGTACCTGAACAGCGCTTGAATGAAATAGAGTGAGTCTTTTCTATCTTAACCAGTGGTCTCGTGTTGGAGCCCTGAGAATGCAGCAGTGTTAAAACTCTTGAGGGAGAGCTTTGCCGTCCTTGTGGTCCTACCCGGCTCGATTCCGGATTAGTCGGTTCCCCTGTGGATCTAGAAACCGGAAGGTCCCTGTACCAAAAAAAAAAAAAAAAAAAAAAAAAAAAAAAAAAAAAAAACTGATTA